CCCGTTTACACACACACACTTCATCCCTCCCCCTCCCCGTTTACACAGTCACTCTCTCTTCCCTCCCCCCGCCCCCACCTGCCGACGAAGTTCTCCAACACCGAGCTTTTGCCGGCGCTCTGCCCGCCCACCACGGCGATCTGCGGCAGGTCGAGGTTACAGCTCTGACCGATGGAGCTGAAAGCGTCCTGCAGCTTGTTAACCAGCGGGATCAGATCCTCCATCCCCCGGTTCCCCATGGCGCCGCTCGGGGATTGATTCACTCCCAGCGCCTGCGGCCTGCGCTTCCGATCACACCCTAGGCCCGCCGGATAACCGGCCACATCCAACTCGCCAGATCTACCGTCAATCATCCGAATCTAAGCCATTCATCACACGGCCTACCCATTGAATGCCGCCTTCCTGTGTGCGTCACCCAACCTGGACCAATTGAATTGGACATTCTTCCGTCAATTACAACATCTCTCAATCTGAATGGGCACATGGGCCATCCGTCAGATGTCACCACCCATATGACCAAGCATTGGCTAAGGTCCCTGTCGATCAACCTGAATCCGTCACTGATTCGCTCCCCTGCGTTCCGAAAGCTAGCCCGCATTCCTAACCCTTCATTGGCTTCTCCTGCTCGTCAGTCATCAACGAACAGAACCGATTGGAGATCGATGAGGTCATGCTTCCACCCTCCCTTCACTGTTGTTACTGATGAGGAAGCGAACAGACGAAGCTGAGTACACACCCAGATACACAGCATTGTACCATACAGCAGGAAAGATGCATAAAAACAACTGGAAAATAATCCAGAAGAAAATCTGAAATTTGAAAAAACAAAATATTGGAAAAACCTCAGGTATTTAGACAGTACCTCTGTAGAAAGAAACACAGTTAACATTTCAGTAGAAGTGGTTTAAGTGAAAGATACTGTAATACAGGTTTAAAGCAGGTCGGGAGCAGGAATAATTATTAAGTGGCGTGATAAGAATGGATGATCTGTGATCATGTCAAAAGAAGGAAATATGAAATAACGAAAAAAAGTGGAGCAATTGAAAGGAAGTGGAAATGCATCAAGAAACAAACATGTAAATAACATTGACAGGACACAAAAATAGATCATATGGCCCTTCAGACCTGCTCTGCTACTTTACACAGTCATGGTTGAACTTGATACTGGTGCTGCCAAACCACTCTTGCTGATGGACATTGAAATTCCCCATCCAGACTACCTGCTGCCCTTTGCCACCCCAAGTGCTTCCTCCAAGTGGTGTTCAACAAGGAGCATTGATTCATAAACAAAGGCCAAGATGTGGAGTGGTATGTGGTGATCAGCAAGAAGTTTCATTGCCTGTGCTTGACCTGATGCCATGAGACCTCATGGAGTCCAGAGTCAATATTGAGGGCTCCCAACCAATTCTCCGTGTGAAATAACTGCACGGAGGCTGGTGCCCTGCCACCAAAAACACCCTTTATTTCCGTGCGCACGCTACACAGGCTGTAGCCAGCCAGCTCGGAGTCAGTCCCCTGAACTGAGGAGATTCTCATCTCCTAGTCATATTGGTCAGCCAGGGCTTTCCTGACTGGCCCAGGTTAACAACCCCAATCAAGAACCTCACAGTTATCGAGGTCCACCTGCTTCCAATCACTACACTGTGCAATACTTTGCCACCTCCTCTGGTTACTGTGTCATGCAGATGAGTATGAGTATGTCAGGCAGTTATTCAGCTAGTCTGTGGAACATCTCTCCCAATTTTAATACCGCGACATGGATATTAGTGAGAAGGACTTTGCAGGGCCTGTCACTCTTATTTCTGGCACCTAGATTGATGCTGAGTGGTCATTCTGGTTTCAGACTGGCTTTCAAAATAAGATATTTTTAAAAATCAAATTTCTCGATCTGCCAATGTAGGATTTGAACCCACGTCCCAGAACATTAGCCTGGGGTTCTGGGTTATTAGTTTAATGACAGAAGAGGCAACACAAAATCATGGGCGCAATTCTAAAGTGGTGCCAGAATAGACGGATCTGGAGGTGAATATGCAGATCATTGAGTGCCACCACAGGTTGAGGTGGTTAATAAAGCAGACCAAATTTTGGGCTTTATAAATAGGGACATGGAGTACCAGAGAAATGATGATAAGTGCATAAAACACACCGGTTTGATTTCACTTGCAGTATGATGTCCAATGCTGGGTAGCACACAGTTGGAAGGGTGGGCGAATACATTGGGACGATTCATGATAAAAGATTCAGGAGAACGATTCAGGAATGAGGAACTTCAGTTACATAGATACATTTGAAAAACTAGGACCGTTCTCCTTGGAGATGAAGAGGAAGTTGTTCGAGGTGTTCAAAATCATGAAGGATCTGAACAGAGTAAAAAGGGAAGAAAAAATTTCCCAGCAGTGTACAGGACCAGAACCAGAGGGTACAGATTAGAAATGATTGGCCAAAGTCACAATGGCCACATAAGGAAAAAAAAAGACATTTTTACACAGGAGGGAATTAGGAAGTAGAATATTAGGAAGTAGAATATTAGGGAGTGTCAGGGTTAGGGCAGTTTCAATTCAGGCCTTCAAATGTCTTGAGACCATCATTTTTTTTTCAAATTTTTGGTTTGGATTTGAGAGTTGAAGTCAGATTTTGACCAGCAACTCATTTTGGAAAGGAAGAGAGAGAACATAACAAACTGATGTTTATGGGACTGGCCTGGAGAGATAATTGCAGCTCCTGGAATATTATAGACTTTTCAACAGCAAGATGGGTTTCTCAGAGACTAGCAGCTAGTTGGATGTTGAATTGGTCAATCAAGGGTAGAACATTGCTGGTCAGCCCTTCACAGAGAATGTTGAAAAGAAAAACAAAACCATAGTTTGAGATAGTAGGAACTGCAGATGCTGGAGAATCCAAGACAACAAGGTGCAGGGCTGGATGAACACAGCAGGCCAAGCAGCATCATAGGAGCAGAGAGGCTGACGTTTCGGGCCTAGACCCTTCATCAGAAAAGGATGAAGTCCATAGTTTGAATGGGTTTGGTTTAGGTTTTAGGCAGAAGGTTGTGCACGTGCAGTATTTTGTAACGGAAGCAATTTTGAGTTTTAGTCTCTCTCTAATTTGATACCCAGTTAAAGAACTGTTGAAGGCTTCAAGGAAAGAATTCCAAGTACATCTTCGGCAGTCTGCAGACGCTATTTGCATGAGTTGGTGACTTTGAAATTCAAGCAAGATATAACTCGATGGGACTGGAATATAAAACATTGGTCAAGAATTTCTGAAGCCATACCCACCATGAGATCATTGAATTGGCAAATTAAATTCTTTAAATTTATCCCTTATCTGTGCCTTGTCTATCTGAGAATGTGGGTGGTAGTTAAAGAAGACTGGGCTTAGATTATTGATAGTATGTAGATTGACTTATCCATGTTTATCCATGTTCTGCTAAATTTTCATTATTAATAAAGAAACAACAATTTTTATTAAGTGTATCGAGTATCTGTTATTTGTAAAGGCTGCTTAGAAATTATTGGATGTTTTGATTTTACTGTGCTACAAATCCGGGGATACGGAGACTAATTTGGTTTGGTCTGTTGTCATAATGTAATTAGGGGCTCGACCTTGAAATCTTAGCAGGATCTTTAAACGTAGACAACGTCCACCTGAAATTGGATTTTGGAACTGAGAGTGGGTACTCAAGACACCAAACATTTATCCAAATTTCAGATTCAAGGACTCAACATGCCAAATGGCCTGCTTCTGCACCACAAGGATTTTATTATTCTACTATCACTTGGTTTAAATAGGAGTAGAGGTGCCATGTAATATGTCAGATCTATCAGTGAACCTTGTGTTACAGTTCAGACAACTGGAAATGAGAAATTAGGAGTTAGAATTCTAAGAGGGGGAGAAAACAGAAGTCCAAAAGGGCATGGATACAACAGACTGAGCAATGACTACACTAAAAGCAGAAGCAAATACCGTTTTACCTGGTATGTTTGGAGTCTAAATGTCGGGGAAGGATATAAAATGATATCTAATGCAGCTCATGGTCGTGTATGGGAAGAGCGGACAAGAATGTTGTGGAGGGAACAGTCCCTGCCAAATGCTCAATAGCAGGGCATGTGGTGTTTGGTAGCAGTATCACTCTAGAGGGAGTAGAAAGGGCACGGGATGGGCTGCTGAACGTATGGTGGGGAAAGACAGAAGATGAGGAAAATAGAAGTTGGACAGCAGTTTCAGTAATGGTGTCAGCTAGAATGGTGATATGGCAAAGTTGGAAGAATATCATTCAGCATCCGATGATGACCAAGGGGTAGGAGAGAATGGTGGCTAGAGAAGTATATGTGCTCAAGGACCTCAAGGCAATAAGCTTCAAACTTCACAGCATTCAACTGGAGAGAAAGGAGTGTCTCATTTGGGACTCAAATAGGAATCTCGAGTCAACAAGGGAGTAGCCAGGTGGCAATATGGAGATGGTGAATGACACTGCAAAGAGAAATTTTAATCATGAAGCCATACTTGGCAGTCAGGAACAACCAGCTACTGTCGAGACCATAAATACCACATCAGCCAGCTGTTCAGATCTGGTCAGCTCAGTTTCCTCCATTCTTGAAGAGGAAGCTAATCATGGCACAGAGTTTAAATTATTTTATATTTAAGAAGTGCTTTACTCTTCACAGAAGTAAACAAGTGCATCATGTATCACAGCCACTAAACAATCTCAAGTTCTGGTAAAGAAAAAATGAAGATTCACAATGCACCCACATACAGCACAGAGAATCTCAGCCATCAAACCCAGGACAGATTAAGAAAGTTTTGACAATATGAGCTGTGATAAGAGCAAAGTCTCTTTTATTCTTAGAGTCATAGGGCATGGAAACAGAACCTTCAGTCCAACTAGTCCATGCTGACCATGCTCCCAAACTAAACAAGTCCCACCTGCCTTTGCTTGGCCCATGTCCTTCCAAACCTTTCCTATTCATGAACTTATCCAAATATCTTTTCAAACACTAACTGTACATACATCCGCCACTTCTTCTGGCAGTTCATTCCACACATGAACCACTCTGTGTAAAGAAGTTGCCCCTCATGTCCTTTTCAAATGAAAAATACCTTTCTCCTCTCACCTTAAAAATATGACCCCTAGTTTTGAACACCCCTACCCTAAGGAAAAGACCCTTGCTATTCACCTTGTCTATGCCCCTCGTGATTAAATAAATCTTTAAAAGGTCACTCCTCAACATCCTACTCTCCAGTGAAAAAAGTCCTAGCCTATCCAGTCCATTTTTATAATGAACCCTCCATTCCTGGCAACATCCTGGTAAATCTTTTCTGAACCCGCTCCAATTTAATATTATCCTTCTTGTAGCGGGGCAACTGGAACACAGTATTCTGGAAGAGGCCTCACCCATGACCTGTACAACCCCAAGAAGACATTCCAACTCCTAAAATCAAAGGACTGAGTAATGAAGGCAAATGTGCAGAGGCCTTCTTAACCACACTGTCTACTTGTGATGCAAGTTTCAAAGAATTATGTACCCGAACCTCCAGGTCTGTACAATTTATTGTACAAGTTGTGCCCTTTCTTGGTTTTACCAAGATGCAATACTTTGCATTTATCCAAATTAAAACGCCATCTGCCACTAAGAACATTTTATTTAGCGCAAAGCAATAGTGGTGACTACCTCATGACTGATCTGAATAATGTCCAGACACAGGCAGAATGGTAGGCTGCTATTTCAATTGTGTAATAAAAAATCAAACAAACAAACAAACAAACAAAACAGGAGATGGCTTTAAAAAGGGCTGCACCTAGGAGAGCAGAGAATGTTGATCTCAGCTGCCAGGAATAAGCATTCCTCAGAGAAAGAGAAGAGATCATCGCTCACACTCTCTCCCCCCACCCCCAAACCTCTCAGCGATCAGGGTAGACCAGGATACCCTTACTTCTGGCTCTCCAGTCACTGCTCCATTAGTCCATTATTTAGAAAGAATTTATCATGCAACCGTTGTCCAAAGTTGCAAGATTTTTTAAAAATTTGACTTTCATAAATACTCACTCACACAATATACATCTACTAGGAATGAGCACACGTGTCAGCTCTCCTTCCTTTACAAATCCCACAACAAAAAAAAATCAGAGTTTGTTCTTTCTTATCACTCTTCATTGTTCAGACACATTCCTATCCGTGAACGAAAACAAATTTTATTTTTAACAAATTATAAGTAATAGGCTTCCCATTAACATGCAATTTTATTTTTGAAAGATTATTTTAAGTAATAAGCTTCAAGTGCAAGAGATCAAGGTCAAGCAGAGCAGTGATCTCAGGTCAAAGCTGCTCAAGAAGCAATAAGTTTAATCCTCACAACCCACCCACTGTACTTTTCCTGCAATTACCTCCATCTATTCAACCCCATCCACCCTCAACTCACAAAGGAACCCCATGTAGGCAGCAAGGTGGGCTGGAATCAGAAGTAGTGAGAGTGGCAGCTGCCCAGTTGTTAAGTGATATGATAACATTACCATGACAGTGTCTAAAGCAGTGCTGCATCAGAATCAAACAGCAGGACAATACAGAAGAGGACTAGGATTGAAACACACACTGTCAGTGCCATGTCAGTCTAATAGCTCAAACCACACACACTGATCAATTGAAACTCAAGCACCAAATACATATATTCCATATTCCTTTCTCACCCTGAGACACTATATTACCACAAAAGGCATTTGGCACAGATTCTTTACTTTAGCCAGTTTGTGATGTTAAATCAGCAGGTTAGATAGAATCTATGGGGAAAAGAAACAGTTAGCATTTCAAGTTTGATCTTTTCACAACATGACATTTCACCCTTCAATTAGATGCTGCCAGATCTGCTGAGTATTGAGCATCTTTTGTTTTCATTCCGGATTTCCAGCACACGCAGAATGAGAAGACAACTCATACTTTCATCATTTGGAAACTTGGTTCTAAAGTGGATAGAACCATCTATAGCTGTTAAGTGTAATTTGTGTTCCTATATTGTGGGTTTTCCCTTTTTAAACCTCAATTTGTTAAGGTCAAAGAGTGATGCCAGAACACCCGAAATTTCGTTTACATGCAACTAAAGTGAGGCTTTTAGAACCTTTGAGGTGATTAGTTTAGTGCCTTAGCAACAAGAGAAGGTGGTGTTCTACAGCTCAAGGAGACATGTGATAATTCTGTCTTTATTAAATAACTTAATTCTATCTAGAAGATCAGTGAAAGTGCAGTTTTTCTTCCAGTAATAAGAAAGGCCCACACTTGCAGCAGTGTGCAGTTTAGCAGTCTATAGAATAGTCAGGGCAGAAGAAAAGGCGTTCAAGTGTTTTGAGTGTTAATAAGAGAAAAGCTTCAGAAACAAAAAGATTAAGAAATAATCGAGCTGTATTAGCTAGTTGAAGGTTTCAGGAAGAGACATTTTCTAAATAAATGCATTGATTGATTACTTTTGTTTCTTGCAAAATCTGCAAAGTCATGCCCCTGGAAAGGAACTTTAAATGAGAAATACGGGACTCTTCACTGAAGAGCACATATCTGTAAGGTTGCTTTTGAGGGATAACAGGTTGAATTTTTTTTGATGTGTAATAAGACCCTTTCAAACAGTTGTTATTAAATGCAATAATTTTTTTCTCTTGTGCAAAATAGATTTTGATATTCTTTTGTTAACAGTACGTCGGCAGTCTGTTTTGACCATGTTAAATGACTAACTTCCATAGTAACCAAACAGCAAAAACAAACACTCATGGTCTATCAAGCCATGTTTCATACTGGAATTTAACTCATCCAGCATGACCATCTGCTGGTATCACAAACAGTTTGCTTTTGTGTTGAAAGATTAATGTCGTCTTACATCACCAAACATGAAATAAGTACAGATGACACCATAGGCAGATTATGCAATGGACCACTTCATACAGATCACCAATCCCACCAGTGGGTTTCAGGGTTAAACAGAGAGATGAAGGAACTCCACCAGCAATGAACTGGAGACATACTTTATGTGCTCATTTTCTGAATTTCAGCATTTTAAACAACTTTAGTTGCAATTAACATCCAATAAAATGTGATCATAGAGGGCCCACATTGATATTGATTCTTCCAGCTTGGGTTTCACTGACATACAAAGTGAAACGGAGCATCATTTTCAAGGAGTGACGGTTAACCTGTTAAAGAGTAGCAATACAGGTAATTGCACATTCCACACAGACATTGCAGATCAGAGACAGGAAACCAGGGAGATCCAAGCATTTGGGAGAGTCTCCCAATCACAGAATTGGATCAGCCAAATCCAAGATATGATCAAAAATAGCTACTTTTTATTTAATGACTACATCGAGCACCTGGAATCAAACATCTGAGCAGTCTTGGATCAGGAAAGTGTAAATCAGCAAATGCTCCTGCCTACTGTTCAATGGGCCTTGGTGATAAGGGCTGGGGCTCAACCATTATCTCTCCAATACTGAGTAGACCTAACTCAATTAACAGCCTTTTGGGTGAGCGAAGGTACACAAAGCAAGTGAAATTGAAAGATACTCAGCACACCCAGAGCACTGGGAGAGATTGAATGTGAGTGGGGGAATGGTGGTGCTGGAATTTGTCAGAGAAGACAAGTCTGTCACCCCAAAAAAAAAAAAAGGATACAATGCCCTATACTAGCAGAGATTGAGCAGAATGATGTTAGACTTCAAAGGGTTAGGTCATGAGAAATTACATTAAAAAAAGACTTGTATTCCATGGAATACAGAAGGTAAAAGTAAAAAAGGTGTCTTTTCCTTAGGGTGGGAAATCAAGACTCGGGGGCATATTTTTAAAAAGATAACAGAGCAAGAGAGAGATTTAAAAAATACATTAGGGGCAATTTTTTTTGTTTTTTTTAAAAAACAGTGGCTCATGTGTGGAATGAACTTCCTGAGGAAGTGATGGATGTGGATACAGTTACAACATTTAAAAAGACATTTAGATAAGTACATGAAAAAGAAATGTGTGGAGGGATATGGGCAAAGTGCTGGCAGGTGGGATTAGTTTAGTTTGGGATTATGACCAGCATGGATTGGTTAGACCAAAGGGTTTATTTCTGTGCTGTATGACTATGAAAATTTGATGATATTTGACAGGCTAGATAGAAGTAAATGTTTTCTACTAACAAAGCTATGACAAGGAGACATAACCGTAAAAAAAGTCAAAACCAGATAATTCACTCAGAGAAAGGAGAAAAAAAGTTATGAAACACTTCTACACAAAAAATAAAAAAAAAGTGAAACTTTTACATAAAAGTATGAGATGAGTGCAATTATCAATTTTTAAATTAGAGATCAAGAGTGTTTGCTATCAAGAGTCTAAAGGATTATGGAGTCATGGTGTAGATCAGCTATGATCTCATTGAACTGTAGACTGGGCTCCTCCTCTTCCTGACTTGCTGGTCAGTAGTATCATTGAGAAAAGGCTGGTATTTATAAGTGGCACTAATCACAACCTTAGGGCCTCCCAATAATTCACTCCAACAGTGTAATCACATTTCTTGATGTCAATATTGGGGTTATTTCTCATGGTTTTTAGGCATTAAGAAGTGGATTAAAAGGTATAAACCTCACTTGGCAGTGACACTATAGTTGTAGTAGCAGCAGGCACCACATAGAAGACAAGACAGGAGTATTTAGAGAGCCCAGGTAGTGAAATCAGCTGACAATAAAAAAAAAAGGGATGAAATCAGGTCATGCAGAGAATTCAAGCTGACACTGACAAAGTAATATCCTTGCTGTACAGATTAGAGCAGCTCAGACAAGTTTCCAAGGGAATACTGACATCATTTCAGAATTGAAAATTAACAAAAGCTGTGACCACAATGCAGACTCTCAACCACACAGCCTGGGGGAGAAATTAACATACAGCCACCTTCAGGATGAGATCTTGTGGAGTTACTCAGAGGAAAGTAGGTCAAGGTAATCAATCCAGTACAAGAAAAGGGGATATCAAAATCACAAGCAATGTGGGTCAGGGAGGAGAGGGGTTGCTTTGCAAACTGTCCCACTTACCAAACCCAAATCACAAGGGAAAAAAATATAGCAGGAAGCGCAACACTTAGCACAATCATGGGACCAATATCCACTCACTGGTGTCAGAGACAGAGACATTCAGTGCTGACTCTGGGTACATATTGAAACATTACTGTACAAAAGGACACAGGCCCCTAAAACTCAATTCCATCAGATACATGTGGTGAGACAGAACCATTGGCCCATCGTTAAATGAGTCTGTAAGAAGAGGAAGAAGAAGAAGCTTGGTCATCCACACACTGAGTCCACCTATGACCCAGGAGCTGAATAATACTGATCCTGCTCCTGCCCCTGTCTGTTGTTAGGGTCAATGCGGGCGTGAGCTAGACTCTGATGTATGTCGAATTCGGGGCACAGTGTGTCCATTCACACAGCTATTGCGTTTGGTCAGACCACCAGTCAGGATGTCTTGAATGTGCTGCACAATCAAGTTTATGGCAACTGCAAGAGACAGAGGGAGCAGAAAATCAAACTCCACTGATCCATTTCTAATAAACTGCAGCAGTGTAGCTCCCAGCATTCCAGAAGGCATTCCTCCTCCCACCACCTCTTATTGTCTTTAATCTCCTATTCCCTACACACTTGCTTCATGCGTCATCCCATTCACATAAAGCCCCTCCACCCTCATGTAGAAAGTTCTACACGGATCCTTCACATTGGCACAGCCATACAGCTTTGAATGAGGGATGGGGGAGAAGTTATTATGATCTTTCTACTCACCCAAATTTTCCACTCCTCTGGGGATGATGACATCTGCATATTTCTTGGTCTGTGAATGAGAGCACAAATAGTGACAGCTCTTTCTCATATGGTGAATTTTGCATTTACTGCTAAAAAAAGGGAAAAAAAAAAAGAATAAAAGTAACTGTTACTGAAACGGTACAAGGCACTAGTGAAACCACACCTGGAGTACTGCGTACAGTTCTGGTCCCCTTACTTCAGGAGAGATGTAGTTGCATTGGAAGCTTTAAAGGAGGTTCACTGGATTGAGGGATTTGTCTTATGAAGACAGACCGAGTAGTTTAAGTAGATGACTGACAGGGAATCTAACTGAGGTATACAAGATGCTGAAGGGGATTGATAAGGTAGATGTGGAGCAGATGTTTCCTCATGTGAGGGAATCTAGAAAGAGAGGCGATAGTTTTAGAGTAAGGCGTGGCAAATTTTAAATAGGTGAGCTGAACTTACTTCTTTCAAAGTGTCTGAATTTGTGGAATTCACTACCCGTGTGGTGGATGCCAGGACATTGAGTAAATTCAAGGAGGAGACAAGACAGATTTTTAACTAGTAGTGTTATAGGGACCAGGCAGGAAAGTGGAGTTGAGATCAGCCATGATCGTGTTAAATGGTGGAGCAAGCTCAAGGGGCTGAATTGTCTCCACTTGCTCCTAGTCTTCATGTTCTTATATTCAGCTCTGGCTGCTTCTCATTCACTATCCTTGAACCATTTCTGCAATAATTCACTGTAGGGTTCCTGCTCCCGACCAGGCACCTTTCCAGCTTCACTTTTAGAGAAATTTTAAACTAAACTAAACTCAAAGCAGCATCTGTTGAATTTAAAGAATTCAAATCAGTGATCTCAGCTCAACTTCAATTTTTTTTTTGAAAAGCTTGTGGGAAGAGGGCAATGCTGGCTGGCCAGCATTTCTTGCCCATTCCTAGTTGCCCTTGGTGGTGAGCTGCCCTCTTGAACTGCTGCAGGTAGACCCACATGCCATTAGGGAGGGAATTTCAGGATTTTGACCCAGCAAACGTGAAGGAACAGGATATATTTCCAAGTCAGGATAGCGAGTGGCACGGAGGAGAACTTGAAGGTGGTGGTGTAGCCATGGATCTGCTGTCCTTGTCCTTGTCCTTCTATTTAGAACTGATTGTGGGTTTGGAAGGTGCAATCCGAGGATCTTTGGGGAATTTCTGCAATGCATTTGATAGATGGTACACACTGCTGCTACTAAGTGTCAGTGATGGATCCAGTGTCTCCAATGGTTTCTCAATATCACATGGAGTGAATTGAATTGGCTGTGTAATGCTGGGGACCAATTACCACGCTTGCTGAAAATTATGGTGAATGCTTCAGATTTACCTTCTGCACTGATGTGTTGGGCTCTTCCATCATCAAGGATGGGGATATTTGTGGAACCTCTTCCTCCATTCAGTTGTTTAATTGTGCACCACCACTCACGAGCAGATGTGGCCGAATACCGAGCTTAGATCTGATCCGTTGGTTGTGGGATTGCTTAGCTCTGTCTATTGCTTGCTGCTTATGCTGTTTGGTGGCTTCACCAGGTCGACACCTTATCTATAGGTATGCTTGGTGGTACTCCTGGCATACCCTCCTGCACTCTCCATTGAGCCAGGGTTGATCCCCTGCTTGATTGTCATGGTTGACTTTAGGATATACCAGGCCATGAGGTTACAGACTATGTTAAAGTACAGTTCTGTTGTTGTTGATGGCCCACAGCATCTCCTGGATGTGCAGTCTGGAGTTGCTAGATCTATTTGAAGTCTGTCCTATTTAGCATGGTGATAGTGCCACACAACACGACAGAGGGTGTTCTCAATGTGAAGACACAAGGAGTGTCTGTTGGTCACTCTTATCGATATATCTACAGCTGGCTAATTGGTAAGAATGAGACTCACCTATAACCTCTCCCACCCTAGCCCCAACCCACACTCCAACCAATTACTTCTGAATAATTCCTCACCGGAAGACAGAACTCCTCGAAGGCTGGTTTTACAAAGGTGGTGTACTGTGTCAGAATTTGCTCCAGGTCCCTCCCTCTCTCGTTGATGTCTCTCAACACTGGAGATAGGAAACAAAATAGTTAAAGTTAAAAAAAAAAGACCACATTAGCATTGCATCAACACAGACTGGGGAACAGGTCTGTGTGTAGAATATCCCCAAAGCTAGGCCCCCTCTTATAGCTTAGAGCTCCTCAGCTTAGGAGGTGGTTCAGGGCCAGAGCATGGAACCAGGTGATGAAACAAAACCAGAAACTCAGCCGGTCCGGCAGCATCTGTGGAAAGAAAGCAGGGTCAACATTTCAAGTAGTGACCCTTTCATCAGAATTCTAGACCCGATATGTTGACCCTGCTTTCTCTCCACAGATGCTGCCAGACCTGCTGAGTTTCTCCAGCAGATTCTGATTTCCAGCATCTGCAGTTCTTTGTTTTATAGCCAGTGAAAATGGTCTTGAGGGACCAAATGCAGAAATTGGAGAAGCAAAGGGAGTGCAGAAAGAGAAACAAATCAATCCCATTCACTAACTGCTCAATATTGTATCCAACTCCTAGATTTGTCTCAAACCAAGGCTAACCAGCCCTCAGGAAACCCTCTCACCTCTTCGGGATAGCCGGGTATCTGCATCTGTGTCCACAAAAAGTTTCATTTGGAACAAATCCCTAATCTCTTGGGAATAGAAAACCAGGATTCCCTCGAAGAGGACCACATCTGCTGGATATACCTTCACCATCTCAGACTTTCTGTGTACAAAACACCTCAGTTAGTCTCACACCAAATCCACATGAGCAAAGAACATTTAACTCTTCTAAACTACTCCCCCATTCAATCAGACCAATCTCTATCAAAGTTGGATAGAATCATTAATTTAATCATTAGCCCTCTTTAGTTTGACACTTTTTGTGAATAGCATGTGGGCATCACTGGCTGAGCCAGCATTTGTGACCCATCCCAAATTACCTTGGAGGAGGTATGAGCTTCTTCTTGAACCACTGCAGTCCACGTGCTATAGAGACACCCACAGAGTTAAGGGTTGTTTCAGGATTGAGAACAGTAAGTGAAAGAACAGTGCTAATCAGTCAGTCAGGATGATATGGGGTTAGATGGGAACTTGCAGATGGTGTTCCCAATAATCTGCTGCCCTCATCTTTTTAGACAGCAGCGTTCAGGTGTTTGAAAGGTGATGTTGAAGGGGTGGCCATAGTACAAACACTGATGCACATATGCCTCCCAATTAGTCTAAATTAGCAGCCACCAACTTATTTCCCTCTCCTAAATACACATTGGTTATTTGCTTTTGTGAATTTCTCAGGCAATGCCCATTTGTAGAACACTAACTAAAGAGACAGTTTATTTGTCCAAGAAATTCCAGCATGGGAGAATCACTTCTGCCTTTACTCAATGTCAACAGACACAACCACCTGTCCAGTAAAGGGCCGGCTTCAATTACAGGGCCCTGGACAATTAAAAACGCCACCCACCACAAAGCAGCAGTTATAGGTGGCATGGGGTGATTGACCAACAGAAACACAAAGCCTTGCTTCCCTCCTTCACCCAAACATTGTGCATTGTCTGAAATGGTGATCATTACCAGCAGGACAGTAGACTCCGAGTCCATTCCCCATAGCCTGACTCTCAAATAACCAGTTTTGTTTCCAAATCCTACAACCTTGGTTTTTCATTAGCTATCGTAATGGCAGTTGGTGATTTGTTGGATAATTCTATGCATTCTGATACATACCGAGAGTGTTTAATAAAATCATAGACAGGAATTGAGACTGTCTTGCCATTGATGATATCTTTCAAGGTACGAAGAATCAGTTCATTGTCAAAAGCATCTGCACACAAGAGGAAAAAGAAAAAAAAGAGGAAAATCAGCAAACTGAACCGAGGAGTCACTACAAAGGATCCCTCTACTACAACCACACAAGCCCTTAGCAGGAGGCCCTCACACTGCCACACAGCTCAGAACCTGCCCCAGGCTACATCATCTCTTTGAGTTTCAAAGTTACAAAGCAGAATTTCAGGCTCTCTTTCATTCTGAGAATCACAAATTATCAAATTCCCAAAGCCATGCTGCCCCCTCCCTGTAATCTCCAACACAGACCCCACAACCACTTTTCTCTCCACTCACCCATACATACACACCCACCCACCAATCCATCCTCATCATCTCTGTCCTGTTGCCCTTCCCATGTGTAACACAAGTAGGTACCTGGATGGTCGAAGTTATACTGCCCTTTGCTAGCCTTGGCTTTTTGTTCTGCAGTCAGCACCTTATAGAAACTGTCCTGGCTCAGGATCACCACCTGTCTCTGCTGCTGGTCCACCTTATTCTGTCCCAGCAGCTCAACGATTTTCTGACAGACAGAGGACTGTAGTTTAAAAAAACAAAAAAAAACAGAAGATTAAACAATATGTTCAACAATCCAAAATTCAACTATACGTCCGAGTTTAAGACAGCACGTTTGGCACAGCATAACAGCTCAACTTCCGCAGCGAGGTCATGAATTGGAAATTTGTTAAAATGGAGAGGGTGCAGAAAAGCTTTACAAGGATGTTAGAGGGTTTGAGCTAAAGGGAGAGGCTAAATAGGCTGCAGCTTTTTTCCCCCTGGAGTGTCATAGAATGAGGGGTGGCCGAACAGAGGTGTATAAAATCATGAGGCATGGATAGAGTGAGTAGCCAAGGTCTTTTTCCTACAGTAGTGGGACGGGGGGGGGATCCAAAACTAAAGGGCACAGGTTTAAGGTAAAAGGGGAAAGATCTAAAAAGTACCTGAGGGGTCACTTATTCACGCAGAGGGTTGGGCAAGCATGGAATGAACTGCTACAGGAAGTAGTGGAGGCTTGTACAACTACAGCATTGAAAGGCTTCTGGAAGGGTACATGAATAGGAATGGTTTAAGAGGGATATGGGCAAAATGCACACAAATGGGACTAGGTCAGATTGGGATGTTTGGTCGGCATGGATGAGTTGGAATAAAACATCTGTTTCCATAACCTATGACTCTATACATCTGCAAGTTATTTGTCATGCTTTCATGTACACAATTATCCAATCACAAAGCGATGGAAAGTGGTGTTTTGACCTAATTCCTCTTGGCCTCTAACTGGAAGTGACATTTGATGAGAGAATTAGGTCTGCACACTGCAAAATATTGTAAATGTTGACTGTTGTAAAATGAGGGATAGGATAAGGCATTGAGAGATTTGGAAAGAGAACCCTCAAACTAAGTCCAAAGAGCAACAGCAATGGCTTTTGTAGAGAATTTCTTTTCTCTCATTGTTTCAGGGGGCTTCAGCATCATGGCAAACATTTGTGGCCAATACCTAATTGCCCGAGTGGAATGGCTTGTTAGGACATTTCAGAAGGCAGGGAGGAATCAAACACATTGCTGTGGGTCTGGAATCATACGTGAGCCAGACCAGGTAAGGACAGCAGATTTCTTTCCTGAAAAGATATTAGTGAACCAGATAGCTTTATAGTCACCAGACAGACTGGCTTTCAATTCCAGAATTATTAATTGAATTTTAATGCCACTGGCTGCCTTGACAGGATTTGACCCAGGACTCCTGGATTACAGCTACTACCATCTCCCTGAATGCTCAGAACATAGGGATTGTAAAGGAATACAGCGATTTAGGAATCCAAGTCCAGAAGTCACTAAAAGAATAAAACATTACATTTATTTGCACAGTAAGAGGAGGGTGGGACTTTTCACTAACTTTTCTGCCAATTAGGATGGAGTGCAAGTAAAACACTTGCAGTTCCGAATGTTTTCGATGCCACTTTGAATAATGAATTCAGGTCTTACAAAGAACATATAAAAGATAAGAATGTGCCTGCAGAAAAGGCCAAAGACTGCACACATCTGCATCAAAGATGAACTGATAGCACAGAGATAAATTTGTATGACCTGATTGGCATTACAGAGACACAGTTGAAAGTCGATCAATGCTGGAACCTTAATGAAGGGTTTTGACACAATATTACGTCAGAAATCAAGGAAAAGGTGAAAGAGCAGCTGTGAGAATTAACAGTGGCATCAGTTCAGCATGGAGAGATGACCTCAACTTGAAATTATCAAGGTGTACAGTTATGTGCAGAGAAAAGAAGTAGCAAGGTACATACCATTTGTTGGAGTAGTTTACAGGTTCCCTAACAGTAATCAGTGTATTACAGAGCAGACTTCAAAAGAAAAAAAAAGGGACATGCAAGACATGCCACAATAATCAATGACTTTAAGCAACACAGGGAAGGCGATAGTGTAATGGTTATTGTCACTGGACTAGTAATCCAGAAATCTAGTAACTTTGGGGACAGAAGAAGTTGGAATCCCAAAATGGCAGATGGTTGGATTTGGCTTTTTTTTTTTTTAAAAATTGGGATTTAAAATTGCAAATGACCACAAAACCACATGTGGTAAATAACCTTCTAGGTGACAGTATCAAATTACAAATTAAATGTACAAATCTGCAAAGATTAGTGGTAGGTCAGACATTAAAACCAGCAAAGGATAATTAAAAGATGATAAAGAGGTAAAAAGCAGAATATGAGCAAAAGCAGCAGTATAAAAACAAACAGACAGTGAGTGGTACTACACGTGTCTGAATAGGAAGAGTGACTAAAATTGGTGTGGTACTTCAGTCAGATCAACTTAGAATTCATTATGGAAAACAAAGATATAGCAGACATTTTGAACAAGTTTCGTATGTCTAGCTTCACAGTAGAAATCTTAGAAAACTTCTTAAACATAAATCGAAAATCAAGAGGTGATGGGGGGAATGAACTTAAAGTAACCACCATCAGGAATAAAATGGCAGGGAAACTACTGGACCCGAAAGTTGACAAGTCCTCAAAACTGGATGGTCTGCTTCCTAGGATCTTCGATGCTACTTTGCAAAGGAAGTCTGGGAAAGATGTAGTTTCTGTCAAGCTTCGACCCAAGCAACTCTGTGACGCAGGACTGTGCGCTCAATGGTGTGTTCCCCAGGATGCACACGGAGGTGAACATCACCTGTGCCTGAAGAATCATCAACTCAGTGAAAGATGCTCTTTGGTCTGCCCAAAACTGGTTGGCCTTCCAGAAGAAGGAACTGACCTGACTGAGTGTTGCAGACTGGCAAATTCCAAGGTCCAGGGCTACGTGCTCAGGGACGCACTAAAGCTTGGGGCAGTTTCCACCAAAGTGCAGGGAGAAAGACCACTGTCTGAGGTCTTCCTGCCAAAGTTAAATGGGCGGGTCTATTAATTATAGGGCCCTCAAGTGCAAATAAATATAGTCTGGTTCAAGAAAGAGATGTCTTTGGTTTGTTTGGATAGAGTCAAACTCCAATGTTTGTTTTATTGATATGCTACCGTACAGAGCCAAACTGCATTTGTGACTAAGACTCTTAATGAATAAAATATATTTTTGAAATCAACAAAAAAAAAGATACAAGATGCACTGGTCTTCTCAGAATTTAAAACATTTTGAAAGAAGGGACCCCAGAGGATATAAAATGACAAAAATAACACCTTTGTTCAAGAAAGCAGGAGGCAGAAAGCTGTAACCTATGGACCAGATGGCTTAACATCTATCATTGAGAAGGTTCTAGAATCTAATTCTGAAGAAAGGTTGTGAAGAGTCATGACTTGAAACGTTAACTCTGCTTTCTCTCCACAGATGCTACCAGGTGTATTTTTCTCCAGCAATTTCTATTTTTATGCTAGAATTTAACTGATGCTTTTAAGACAATTTTAAAATTCAACAGCCAAAATAAAAAGAGACTGTGCCCTTTGGTAAGAGGTTAAGCTCAAAATTTAGAGCTCAGCTGTTAGTGTGAAGTTTGTCTTGAAGTCATCCAAGGCTTTCTCCCCAGTATAGTAATAATACCAGTAAAGCAACATAGCCAGAGACAGAAACAGAGTTAACATTTCAAGTCAGCCTTTCTCAATGTTCTGAAGTGAGAGACAGGCAAGGGATCAGTAGAGTCATGCAGCACAGAAACAGGCCCTTTGGTCTGACCAGTCCACACTGACCAAGTTTCCCAAACAAAACTAGACCTACTTGCCCAGCCTTCGCCCATATCCCTCTAAACCTTTCCTATTCATGTACCTGTTCAAATGTCTTTTAAATGCTGTAACTGTACCCGCATCTACCACTTCCTCTGGCAGTTCATTCCCATATGCACACCACCCTTTGAGAAAAGGTTGACCCATCGCTCCATTTTAAATCAATTCTCCTCTCGCCTTAAAAATATACCTTCTAATTTTGAACTCACTCACCCTTGGAAGAAGGCCTTTGCTTTTCAGCTCGTCTGTGCTAATGGCAGCAGATAATGGGGCAAAGTACCTCTTATGACTGAGAGCTGAACAGCATCTTCCTGCTGCTCATGTCCAGTCTATCCTCAACCTAGCGCGTTCCTAGGTAGACACTCCCCGAGACCACACATAACACCAAAAAGCTAGGTTAATGATGAAAAAAGAAACGCTATTTGCATTTGTTTTATTACTCAGCTTTTCTTCAGAAGTCCCCAGTGACTGAGGCCTAAAATAACCCATAACCCAATTCTGCCTTTTCACTTCCATTCCGGAAATAAGGGCCGGCATCGTGCCTGCGCATCCCTCACTCTCCGCGCCTGCGCATTCCTCATTCCACCCCCACCCCCGGCATCGGTCCCGCGCCTAAGTCGCACCCCCACCAGCCGGCGTCGGTACCGCGCCTGCGTCACACCCACCCAGCCGGCGTCGGTTCCGCGCCTGTGCATCCCTCACCCTCCCCGCTCGCGTCGGTACCGCACCTACGTCGCACCCTCCCTGCCGGCGTCGGTACTGCGCCTGCGTCGCACCCTCGCCCCGGAGGCCGGTACCGCGCCTGCACATTGCTGCTCCTGCTCGCCATGCGGATGTTTTCGAAAGTCTGGATTGACGAAACCGCTCGAGACACAGTCCCACTCGAATCCCAGGCTACAGTCGCCACGATCAGCGCGACGACCTACCTTCCCGCTAGCGGTCCCGCCGCTGACAGCAATAAGAAAAGGCCGATGCTGTACCTTTCGCTCAAGCACCGCATCGGCCGCCATCACCGCCGACATGACTGTGGAGCCGGCGCATGCGCGCCTTTATGTAGGCCTCAACCGAACTTGGTTGGTGTCTCATCAAGATAGGTTGTCTAGGCAGTCAGCTAGCGCAAATCAGAGATTGAGAAATTCCCATTTTACCCAAAATTAGAGAGACTCCTGTATCATCCAAAATCAGTAAGGCTTGCATATCATCCAATTTCAGTGAGACTCCCACATCACCTAAAATCAGGGAGACTCCCATATCATCCAAAATCAGTAAGGCTTGCATATTATCCAAAATCAGTGAGACTCCCACATCACCCAAAATCAGGGAGACTCCCTGATCATCCAAAATCAGAGAGACTCCCATATCATCCAAAATCAGAGAAATTCCCATATCATTGCTATCAGAGAGATTCTCATATCACCAATATCAGAGATACCTCGTATCCTCTAAATCAGAGATTTGCATATCATCCAAATCATAAATCCCCATATCATTACAGTCGTAGCGTGGAAACAGACCCTTCGGTCCAACTCGTCCATGCTGACCAGATATCCTAAATTAACCTAGTCCCATTTGCCAGCATTTGGCCCATATCCCTCTAGACTCTTCGTATTCATATACCCATCTAGATGCCTTTTAAATGTTGTAATAGTACCAGCCTCCACTACTTTCTCTGATAGCTTATTTTATACACACACCACCCTCTGTGTGAAAAAGTTGCCACTTCGATCCTTTCTAAATCTTTCCCCGCTCACCTTTGGTTTTGGATTCCGCTAACCTGGGATCAAGACCTTGACTACTCACCCTATTCATGCTCCTCAATTTTATAAACCTCTATAAGGTCATCACTCAGCCTCCGATCCTCCGTGGAAAAAAGCCCCAGCCTATTCAGCCTCTCCCTGTATCTCAAATCCTCCAATCCTGGCAACATCCTCATAAATCTTTTCTGGACCCTTTCAAGTTTAACAACATCTTTCCTATAGCAGAGAGACCAGAATTTCACAGTGGCGTAACTAATGTCTCGAACAGTTGCAACATGACATCCCAACTCCTATACTCAATGCACTGACCAATAAAGGCAAGTGTATCAAATGCCTTCACTACCATATCTACCTGTGGCTCCACCTTCAAGGAACCCTGCACCCCAAGGTCCACTTGTTCAGCAACTCACCCCAGGACTCTACCATTAAGTGGTATAGGTTCTGCCTGATTTGCCCTGCCAAATGCAACAGCTCATATTTATCTAAATTAAACTTCATCTGCCACTATTATTTATACAAAATGGCAGCAGAGGAGTAGGCTATGTTTGGGCTCCTGTGCCTGGGCTTGTCCTCCTGATCCACATTTTTCTTTCTTTTTCCCTTCTACCCCTTTTTCTTCTTAAACTTACCTGATAGAGGGAGCTCTTCGGCAGGAGGTGGCTTGATTGACTCTGGAGCAGTGGTGGCATTTTCAGAGGCAGCGTGGCTGCAGAGACTGTCAGTCAGCCTGGTTAGCCCGGAGCGGGACACTCTCTGCAGCGTGGTGTGGACTGGTGTAGCCTGGGGCTGGACACTCTCTGCAGCGTGGTGTGGTCCGGTGTAGCCTGGGGCTGGACACTCTCTGCAGTGTGGTGTGGACTGGTGTAGCCCGGAGCTGGACACTCTCTCAGCACCATGGTGTGGGCTGGTGTAACCCGGAGCTGGACACTGTCTCAGCACCATGGTGTGGGCTGGTGTAGCTTGGAGCTGGACATTCTCTGCGGTGTGGTGTGGGCTGGTGTAGCCTGGAGCTGGACACTGTCTCAGCACCATGGTGTGGGCTGGCGGAGCCCAGAGCGGGACACTGTCTGTGGTGTGGTGTGGACTGGTGTAGCCCGGAGCTGGACACTCTCTGCAGCACCATGGTGTGGACTCGTGTAGCCCAGAGCGGGACACTGTCTGTGGTGTGGTGTGGGCTGGTGTAGCCCAGAGCTGGACACTCTCTCAGCACCATGGTGTGGACTGGTGTAGCCCAGAGCGGGACTCTGGCAGCAGTATGCTGCAGCAGCGGAGAAGAAAAAATTAGACTTTCTTTAAATTTAATCTTTTTTTATTTTATTCTGTGAATGGCGTTTATGTACGAGTGCCGATACACACTTTTCACTGTATTTTATATCAAATGCACATGACAATGAAGGATAGTTGTTCATTAATTCACTCCTCAACCCTTTGGCCCATCTAATCAAGGTCCCATTGTACTTTAAGATAACCTTCTTCACTATCCACTACACCAGCTATTTTGGTGTCATCTGCAAACTTACTAACCATTCTGCCTACATTCACATCTAAATCATTGATATAAATGACAAAAAGAAGTGGACACACCACCGAACCTTGTGGCACACCACTGGTCACGGGCCTCTAGTCCAGAAAACAACCCTCCACCATCACCCTCTGTCTCCAAGCTTCTAGCCAGGTTGTATCTAAATGGCTAGCTCTCCCTGGAAACCACGTGATCTAACCTTGCTAACCAGTCTATCATGCAGAACCTTGTCAAACGCTTTGCAGAAGTCCATATAGACACGTCTACCACTCTACCTTCATCAATTTTCTTTATCACTTCTTCAAAAAACTCAATCAATTTAGTGAGACACGATTTCTTACGCACAAAGCCATGTTGACTATCCCTAATCAGTCCATGCTTTTCCAAATGTATGTAAATCCTGTCCCTCACAATCCGCTCCAACAACGCACCCACCACTGATGTCAGGCTCAGCAGTCTATAGTTCCCTGGCTTTTCCTTACCACCTTTCCTAAATAATGGCACCACATTAGCCACCCTCCAGTTTTCTGGCACCTCACTGGTGGCTTTTGATGAAGCAAATATCTCAGCGAGGGAGCAATAATCACTTCCCTCACTTCCCACAAAGTTCTGGAATACACCTGAGCAGGTCCCAGGGATTTCCACCTTCATGTGTTTTAAGATGTCCAGCACCTCCTCCTCTATAATATGAACACCTTTCAAGATATCATTATTTATTTCTCCAAGTTGTGTAGCTTCAATATCCTTCTCCAAAGTAAACAGTGATGTGAAATTTTGTATCTCACCCATTTCCTATAGTGCCATACATAGATAGCCTTGTAAATCTTTAAGGGGCCTATTCTCTCTCTAGCTACTCTTTGGATCATCCTTAATCCTTTTTGCCTTCCTGATTTTCCTCTTGAGTATACTCCTACTGCCGTCATACTCCTCAAGGGATTCACTCAATTCCAGCTGTCTATACCTGCCAAATGTCTCCTTTTTCTTGAAGTATCAGAGAGATTCCCATATCATTCAAAATCAGATAAATTCTCATATCACCAATATCACAGAGATTACCATGTCATCCAAAATCACAGAGACGAGAGTCCAGAGACTGTATGTTCCTGTTAGGGTGAAGGGCAAAGCTGGTAGGTGTAGGGAATGCTGGCTGACTAGAGAAATTGAGGTTTTGGTCAAGAAAAAGAAGGAAGCATATGTCAGGTATAGACAGCAGAGATTGAGTGAATCCAGAAGAGTATAAAGGCAGTAGAAGTATAGATATGAGGGAAATCAGGAGGGCAAAAAGGGGATATGAGATAGCTTTGGCAAATAGGATTAAGGAGAATCCAAGGGGATCCTACAAATACATTAGGGACAAAAGAGTAACTAGGGAGAGAATAGGGCCCCTTAAAGATCAGCAAGGCTGCCTTTGTGTGGAACCGCAGGAGATGGGGAAGATACTAAATGAGTATTTTGCATCAGTGTTGACTGTGGAGAAGGGGATGGAAGCTAGAGAACTTGGGGAAATAAATAGCGACATCTTGAAAAAGTCCATATTACAGAGGAGATGCTGGACAGCTTAAAATATATTAGGGTGGATAAATCCCTGGGACCTAATCAGGTATACCCTAGAACTCTCTTGGAAGCTAGGGAAGTGATTGTGGGGTTCCTTGCTCAGATATTTGTATCATTGACAGCCACAGGTGAAGTGCCAGAAGACTGAAGGTTGGCTAATGTGGTGCCACTATTTAAGAAAGGTGGTAAGAGAAAGCCAGGGAACTATAGACCGGTGAACCTGACAACAGTGGTAGGTAAGTTGTTAGAGGGAACCCTGAGGGACAGGATTAACATGTATTTGGAAAGGCAAAAACTGCTTAGGGATGGTCAACATGGCTTTGTGTGTGGGAGATGTGTCTCACTAACTTGATTGAGTTTTTTGAAGAAGCAACAAGGAGGGTTGATGAAGTCAGAGCATTGAACATGATCTATATGGACTTCAGTAAGGTATTTGACAAGATTCCTTATGGCAGACTGGTTAGCAAGGTTAGATCACATGGTATACAGAAAGAACTAGGCGTTTGGATACAGAACTGGCTCAAAGGTGGGAGACAGAGGGTGGTGGTGGAGGGTTGCATTTCAGATTGGAGGCCTGTGACCAGCGGTGTGCCATAACGATTGGTGCTGGGTCCACTGCTTTTTGTTATTTATATAAATGATTTGGATGTGCATATAGGGGGTAAGGTTAGCAGATGACACCAAAATTGGTGGTGTAGTGGACAGCAAAGAAAGCTTCCTCAGATTTCAATGGGCAGAGGAGTGGCAAATGGAGTTTAATTTAGATAAATGTGAGGTGCTGCATTTTGGGAAGGCAAATTAGGGCAGGACTTATACACTTAATGGTAAGGTCCTGTGGTGTTGCTGAACAAAGAGACCTTGGAGTGCAGATTCATAGTTTCTTGAAAATGGAGTCACAGGTAGATAGGACAGTGAAGAAGGCATTTGGTATGCTTGCCTATTTTGGTCAGTGCATTGTGTATAGAATTGAGAGGTCATGTTGCAGCTGTACAGTACATTGGTTAATACAGTGGGGAGCTGGAGGAAGACAGCAGGTCAGGCAGCATCAGAGGAGCAGGAAAGTCGACATTTTGGGTTTACAACACTTTTGGAAGACTTTCTTTTCAATTCCGGTCTCCCTGCTATTGGAAAGATGTTATGAAAGTTGAAAGGGTTTAGAAAAGATTCAGAAGGATGTTGCCAGGGTTGGAGGGTTTGAGCTACAGGGAGAGGCTGAATAGGCTGGAGGTATTTTCCCAGGAGCATCGGAGGCTGACAGGTGACCTTATAGATGTTTATAAAATCATGTGGGGCATGGATAGGCTGAATAGTCCATGTCTTTTCCCCAGGGTGGTGGAGTCCACAACTGGAGGCCATAGGTTTAAGGCGAGAGGGGAAACATTTAAAAGGGACTTAAGGGGCAATGTTTTGTATGGTGCATGTATGGAATGAGCTGCCAGAGAAAGTGTTGGAGGCTGGTACAATTACAACATATAAAAGGCATCTGGATGGATATATGAATAGGGAGGGTTTAGAGGGATATGGGCCAAATGCTCACAAATGGAAATCAATTTATTTAGGCATATATGAGTTGGACCAAAGGGTCTGCTTCCATGCTGTACAGCTCCATGACTTTATGACTAATATCACAAAGATTCCCATGTAACCAAAATCAGAGAGATTCACATAATGTCCACAATCAGAGAAATTCCCATTTTCTGTTTTTATACCAATACCAAACATATTATGATATTTCAAATAATGCATCTCTCCCTTCATGGCTATTTAGATTAGGACCTAGGGGTTCTTTGAAGTTTACGTCACATGTAGTCAGAGTGGCTAAAAAGGCGCTTAGCATGCTTGCCTTTATTGCTCAGACCTTTGAGTATAGGAGTTGGGACATTATGTTGAGGTTGTATAGGATGTTCGTGAGGCCTCTTCTGGTGTACTGTGTACAGTTCTGGTCGCTCTGTTATAGGAAAGATATTGTTGGCTGGAGAGGGTTCAGAAAAGGTTTACCAGGATGTTACCAGGAATGGAGGGTTTGAATTATAAGGAAAGACTGGATAGGCTGGGACATTTTTCACTGGAGCATAGGAGGTTGAAGGGTGATCTGATAGAGGGTCATAGATAAGGTGAATGGTAGGTGTCTTTCCCTAGGGTGGGGGATTTCAGTACTAGGGGACGTATTTTTAAGATTAAAAAATGATGTGAGGGGCAATTTTTTTTACACAGAGAGTGGTTTGTATGTGGAATGAACTTCCAGAGGAAGTGATGGATGCAGTTACAATGTTTAACAGACGTTTAGATAAGTACATGAACAGGCAAGGTTTGTAAGGAAGAGTCCTCAGTTCTGAGGAAGGGTCACCGGATCCAAAACGTTAATTCTGATTTTTTCTTCACAGATGTGACCAGACCTGCTGAGCTTTTCCAGCAACTTCTGTTTTTGTTCCTGATTTACAGCATCCACAGTTCTTTCGGTTTTTATAAGGTTTGTAGGGATATGGGCCAAGAGCAGATAGGTGGGATTAGTTTACTTTGGGATTTTGGTCAGCATGGAGTAGTTGGACTGAAGGGTCTGTTTCCATGCTGTATGACACTATATTGCCAATATCAGAGAGGTTCTTATATCACCAATATCAGAGATTCCTGTATCATCAAAATCAAAGATTCTCATATTATCTAACATCAGGGAGGTTCCCATATCATCTAATATTAGAGATACAAATATCCAAATCAAAGATTCTTAGATCAGCAAAATCATCTAAATCAGAGAAATTCCTATACTATCGAAATCATCAAAATCTAAGAAATAGCCATAACACCAACATCAGAAACATACCCATATCACCAAAAGCATCCAAATCAGAGATTCCCAAATCACCAAAATCACAGAAACACACATATCACCAAGAGAGTAAAATGTGTATTGAGACCTGGGTATCCTAATTGACCGGTCAGTGAATGGTAAGCATGCAGGTGCAGCAAGTCGCGATAAAGAAATGTTGGCCCCGTATAGAAAGTGGATTCAAGCACAAAAGCAGGGATATCTTGCTGCAATTATAACAGGGCCTTGGTAAGGCAGCACCTGGAGTATTGCGTGCAGTTTTGGTTTCCTTATCTGAGGGAGAACGTTCTTGCTGTACAGGAAGGTTTACCAGACTGATTCCTGGGAATGGCAGGAACAGGCCATTGGATCATGAGCCATGATCATAATGAATGGCAAGCAGGTTTGAAGGGCCAAACAGACGATTCCACCTCCTATTCTCTATGAATATATGATACTCTATAGTCTTTAATCTATACTACAATCTATGGTAACATATAGCATACAGCCTATATGATGGTATATATGATTAGCTTTAGTATGCAATGTATATGGTAGACAATGTTATAATGGATATGATAATGTGGAGTACAGAGCTGAAATAGGAGTCTATATGATAACCTATAGCGTGCAGCCTATAGGGTATTGGTGACGCGCCCACGCGCGAGTGCGCGGTGCTCGCTTCCGCCGCTATGGCCCCGGTTCCGCTCCGGACTCTGAGCCGGGTTGAGTGCTCTGTGACCCGGGCCCGGCTCCTACAGATCCAGCTCCCGCACGGGGAGCTCCAGACCCCGGTTTTTATGCCGGTCGGAACCCAGGGAACCCTCAAAGGCATCGCCGTCCCACAGCTCGAGGCCCTCGGCTGCCGGATCCTCCTCGGAAACACGTACCACCTGGGGACTCGCCCGGTGAGGGCCAGGGCCGGAGGGGTGTGCTGGGTTCGGGGGGGGAGGCTGTGTGTTTTGGGTTGGAGGGTTGTGGGGAGGAGAGGAGGGAAGACTACAGTTCATTAGTTGGGATCTTGCTTTTCTGTGTAGTATTCATACATTGTATGGTACCTTCAGCCATTTAGTCCTAAAGTTATGTTTCTCTCTAGGGGCCAGAACTTATTTCAAAGGCCAATGGACTGCACGGTTTTATGAACTGGAAGAGGGCACTCCTAACAGTGAGTATGCAACAGAAACATTTAACAGGAGGAAAAGTTTGTCCTTTTGCGAACCCAAGCTTAGATACTTTCCTCTATCAGCAATCTTTTTGGAGCATACAAATTGCTTGAAATATCCATTCACTGTCCATCCAGTTCCCCTTCTATCATCCCCTTCTATCCTACAATCATCTATAGAGGTCAACTACGATAGAGAAGGTATTGCAATCAGCAAAGAGATCTGTGAGCTAGTTGAACAAGTTACAATTGAGAGGGAGGAGGTATGAACAGTTTTAGCAGCATAATTACATAAACACCCAGACCCACATGTTTCCCAGACTGCTGTGAGAGGCCAGGGTGGCCATTGCAGGAGGAAAACCTTAGATTTCCAGTCAATATATACAGACTAGTCAGAAGAGCAGAACAGTGGCAAATGAGGTTCAGTCCTGAAAAGTGTGAAGTGATGTCGTTTTGAGAGAATTTAGATTTATTCATTTGTCACATGTACTAAGTACAAACCTGATAGGACCCTAGAATTGCATGCCCTTGAATATGGTTGTTCAGCTCATTTTCCTTCTGGGTATTTTGTAACTGTACTGTTTCATATCCCTTCTTCCTGCAGGACAGTGGTGGGTTTCAGATGGTGTCTTTGGTGGAATTGGCTGAAGTAACAGAAGAAGGGGTACGATTCTGTTCTCCTTACGATGGGAAGCAAATTCTTCTGTCACCTGAAAAATCAATTGAAATACAGAATGCTCTTGGTAAACATTGTCTAATCATTGGCCTAATACAACAGTCAGGTATAGCAATGAGGAGGTGTGGGCTGGCTGGGGTTGTGGAAGTGGCCGGTGAGTGGTTGGAATACGCTGGGGGAGAAGGGGAAGGGCTCATATTAGGTGTGTGACAGAATATAACTAACTAGCAAGCTCAAGTTGAGCAGAAGTAGCACGACAAAAGAAACTGGAAGGAATTTTGTTTGAATGAACAGAGATGAGGGGGAGCAGGGTATTGGGCCTGTTAGGATAGACTGTCATAAATCAAGCAAGTGGGGGCTGGGGAGTGTGGGCGGGGTCAGAGCACGTGGGGAGGGGGGTTGTGGGCAGGAGTTGGGGCGCGCAGGGAGGGGGTGATGCGGGGGCCGGGGCGCGCGGGGTTGTGGGCGGGGGTCGGGGCGCGTGGGGAGGTGGGTTGTGGGCAGGGGTCGGGGCACGCCGGGGAGGGGAGGATGTGGGCGAGGGTCGGGGCATGCGGGGAGGTGGGGTGTGGGTGGGGTGTTGGCAGACGGTGTGTGGGTGGGGTGTGTTTGTTGCTCCTGAATTGTTACATTTCTGTCATTGCTGCATTAGGTTCAGACATCATGATGCAGTTGGATGACGTAGTGAGCAGCACAGTGTCTGGGCCGAGAGTTGAAGAGGCCATGTACAGGTCAGTGAGGATAACACATTCACAGTGATTGATGGCCTGTCCAAGTGTCAGTGTCATTGTACTGCTCAGGCTCAACTAACTCCTTTCATATCCGTTAGTACTGACAGTCACTGTGTCCCTCCCCTGTTGCGCTCCCTCCCATAAGTCTGTAAGATACAGGGGCAGAACTAGGTCCTTCAGCCCATTCGGTGTGGTCTGCCACTTAATTTTTGTTAATGTATTTCTCAACCCCTGCTTTCTCCCCATAGTTTTGATCCCCTTATTAATCAAGAATCTATCTCTATCTGTCCTAAATACACTCAATACCTTGGCCTTCACAGTCCTCTGTGGCAGTAGTTGCACAGATTAACCACCTCATCTCAGTTCTAAAGCGTCATCCTCTGCGTGTGGCCTCGGGTCCTAGCCTCTCCCAGTGGAAACATCTCTATATCCACTCCATTCGGGCATTTCTGTATTCCGTAAGTTTCAACGAGATCTTACCCCACCTCATCATCCTTCTGGGATCTCTCTAATGAACCTCCTCTGGACCCCTCCAATCTCAACAAATCCTTCCTTAGATACAGGGCCCAAAACTGCTCACAACGTTCCAAATGCAATCTGGCCAGACCCTAATACAGCAGTATGTCCCTGGCTTTGGATTCAAGCCCTCTCGAAATTAATGCAAACGATGCATTTGCCTTCCTAACTGCCAACTGAACCTGCAAGTTAACATTAAGAGAATCCTGAACTAGGATTCCTTAATACTTTTGTGCTTAGATTTCTGAGGCCTTTCCATGTTTAGAAAATAGTTTACGCCTCTATTCCTACCAAAGTGGCATAATCTCACACTTTCTCACATTGTATTCCTTCTGCCACTTCTTTGCCCACACTCCAAGCCTGTCCATATCCTTCTGCAACCTCCCCACCTCATAAACACCTATCTGCCCCTCCATCCATCTATCTTTGTGTCATCTGCAAATTTAGGAGCAATGCCCTTAGTTTCTTCTTCTGAATTGTTAATGGATAATGTATATCTCCTGTCATTGCTGCCCTACTGTCTTCTTTATCATCAACTCTGGCCAGCTCCTCTCTGTCTTTGTAGTTACCTTTACTCAATGGTAATACCACTGCATCTGATTTAACCTTTTCCCTCTCAGACTGCAGGGTGAATTCACATCATATTATGGTCACTGCCCCCGAGGGTTCCTTCACTTTCAGCTCCCTAACCAAGTCTTTCACGTGACACATGACCAAATCCAGCATTGCCTATTCCCTTATAGGCTCTATCACAAGCTGCTCCAAAAAAAATGTAAATATTTCCTGGAATTCCTTTTCTTAGGATCTGCTACCAACCTGATTTTCCCAGTCCACTAGCGTATTGAAGTCCCCCATGATTATTGTAATGGTGCCTTTCTTGCGTGCCTTTTCTATCTCCTGATTTATTTTCTGCCCCATGACCTGACGACTGGGATTACTCGCATCAGGGAGTAATCCCAGTGGTTCTCCAGCCTGACCCTTGGCCTTCTGACCCTATGTTGCGTCTAGCTATTGATTTAATTTCAATTCTTTCTGACGAGGCAAACGTTCCCCCTCCGCCCATGTGCCTATCCTTTTGATATGAGAGTATCCTTGGATATTTCTTTTCCTTCCCTGGTCCCCTTGTAGTCATGTCTCTATGATGCCCACGACATCATATTCACCAACTTTAATCTGCACTAGAAGCTCATTTTCCTTGTTTCATGTACTGCATGCATTTAAGTACAGCACCCTTAGTCCAACATTGACTGTCCCCCTTTGTCATAGTTGTCCCCTTTATCTGCTGTACCTGGTTAGATTCCTGAATCTTCCCATACTCTCTGTTCTATTACCCTCCCCAGTCTCTCTCCTTCCCGTTCCCACTCATCTGTCTCTTTCCATTCCCCTCCACCCCTGTCTTTTCCACTCTGTCTCTCTCCCTGACTGTGTGCCTATCTGTTTGATTCACCCAATATAAGTGACAGTAACTGTGTCTGTCTCTCTTAGGTCTGTTCGCTGGTTGGATCGCTGCATTGCAGCAAACAAGAACCCTCAGCAACAGAATCTGTTTGCTATTATTCAGGGCGGCCTGGATGCTGAACTGCGTAAGAAATGTCTGATAGGTGAGACATGGGTCTCAACTTTTCTGATCTTTAATTTTAAGCCGGAGATCTTCTTTTGTCTTCTGTAAAAACCACATGATTTTGCTTTTTATTTTGGATTATGGCTTAAAATGGGAACAGTATTGTTTTAAACTAAGTAAACTGTGGAAGCAGACGCTATATGTTTTAAAAACGAGTGACTGGAATTCACTATGAGTTGTATTTACATTGCTGCTTGGTTGAAACCGTGGGGAAAGTTGCCTCAGATGCCATGGCACCAGGAATGTGTGCAGAGTGAGATAGTTAATGATTGGTTCGTGCATTTGGAACTGTGTGGATGCCAGAAGTCATCAGCCTGATGACAACCCGATTGGCTCTGGGAAGGCAAACAATTTACGTGGTTACATTACAGGGGAAGAAACTTCGGGCTGCAGCAATGATGAGTTTCTTCTCTCTGTCTCTCTCCCCCTCTGCAGTGAAGTACCCAAAAACGGGAAGACAGCCAGTTATTCTATCCCACCAGTTGCTGTAAGCTGTTGCCCATTAATAACAACTGAAAGGCTTTACAGTTAGAGTGCAAAACACCCTTTTTGTTCTGCATGTAATTGAAAGAATGTGGAACAAAAGATCTTGGGAAGCAAGGGGGTCATCTCATTGGATCCTGTCAACTGGTGCTATTAAACTGTGATTCTTCAGTATTCTTTTCCTCCAATGTAAAAGACGATATCTTCTTAATTTTCTATTTTTGCTTGTGAACTAAATTGGGAGAAGAACTGTTTTGAATGCCAAGGATTGTGAAAGGATTGCTGCATGTTATAAAAGCAGGTTACCTGAGGCTACTGTAAAAGCTGTTTATAGTGCTGTTGGTTCAAACAGTAGGGAAAGACTAGTTACAGATGAGCTGGAGCCAAGCAGTTGTGTATGAATGGAGGTTCAGCGAGTAACAAGTAGCTGATTAGTCTGTGGAATGGTGTTCACTGATGGGAGTGAGGTACAAGTCTGTGCTGTGCCCACCTCTGTCTGCCCTCTGTCTGTGCTGTGCGCCCCTGCCCCTTTGTCTGTGCTGCTGTGTCTGTCTGTGCTGCTGTGTCTGTCTGTGCTG